GGGCAGCACCAGGGACGTCCTCTGTCCCCCTCACTCTTTATTTATAGGAAGAGACGCAGGTGGGCAGCAGCTACTGGGGAGGCCGCGTGATACACAGATGGTCTTACAGTTTCCTCTGCCTCTTGTCTGACTTGGAGCTGTTGCTGAGCACAGCTATTCCTGGGGCTCTGCGCTGGAGTGTCTGTGTCTGGCTGGGGCCCCCTTACGGTCTGTTGGTGCGCTGTGCTGGTGCCCTGCTGTTGCCTCCAGGGTGATCGGCGAAGATGTCGAGGAGGGCCGAGCTGCCCTGGTGAACACTAACCGGAAACAGAGGGAAGGGATTGCATCCTAGAGTCCCTCGTTCACGCGTTCACTCATTTACTCGACCACCAGGCAACCCTGTGATGTGCAGGGTGAGCTTGACCCCAAGGACATGGGAACAACTCAGCAGCTGCTTCCTGTCATCAAGGGGCACATGCCATTCCTGAGGCAGAAGAACGCAAGGTAAAGATCATGAGCAGCTGGTTGGAAAGTGTACTGGGAGAGGAGGGCCGGCAGGGGGCACAATGTTACGGCACGGGGCCCCCATGTGGCCAATGGGGCTCGAGCTCTGGACCTGGCTGCTCGAAACTCGCACTGGCATGTGTGCGTGCGTGCCCAAGATTTTGAGGGGAGAATGGAGAAGGGATTGCAGTGTGGCCAACCCCCCTGGGGGGTGATTTCTCACTTTCTCTCTGTCTCTCCAGCGAACGCACGTGCCCTATAGCAAAAATGTCTGAAAAAAAAATTGTACTATAAAAAAATTGTACTGGGTTGTTACCGGCTGGTGGTGAGTGGGCAATCATGGGGCTCTTTGAGGCCGACCTCCACAGGGAAGTTCACAGTTCTGAAAGAAAAGGTACTCAGAGAACGGCAACACGAGTCCCCTGTCCCTTCTCACGATGATGCCACATCCTGCGGTTATCAGAGCTTCAGAATATGTTTTAGTGCAAGCCCGACCTTGTTCTTCTCAATTTTTTAAAAACATTATTTACTTTATTTATTATTATTATTTTAATTTGCTATAGGCCACGTGCACGCAAAAGAGGGAGAGATGAAAAGTGAGAAAGTAAGCCGTCAGGTCCGGAACTCAAACTGTGGCCAGCCATAGGGGATCCCAGTGCCTTAACCACCGTGACACCTGCTGGTCACCTTTTCAAATGTTTGCTTGCCAATTTCCAATCAGGACATTTTGTTTTGTTTTCAGGTCACTTACAGAATTTTGTCAAAACCTCCCCTGCCCTTGGGGCTGGCAGGTGGCATGGTGGTTAAAAGCGTGGACTCTTACGTGGCCAACTGTGGTTCAGGTCCCAGACCTGGTGGCTTGCTTTCTCACTCCTCCCCCCCGCCCTGATCAAACTGGAAAATAGTAATGATAAAAAATTAAGTTATAT